GCATGTTAAAAGTTTTCTTAAGCCTTCTAATAAATTGAACCAAACTGCTGCATTAAGCCTTCTTTGTTGGATTGTTTTGTTCTACCACCAAGCAGTCAAGCTGCTGCATTAGGCTGCTGCACAGGCTGCCCAACTTGACATGATACACATTTACTGATTCTCTCATTTTTGACAAGTGTAGTATTGCAGAACTTGAAAGTGTGCCAGGTTGAGGATTTCAGTTCCAGACTTCCAGTGTGCCAGATGTGCCAGAACTTAAGGTTGCTGCATTAAGGAATTCTGGTTGAGGATTTCAGTTCATTAGTGATTAAACAGCTATTTGGGAGTTTAGTTAATTTTGTTTTATTCTGAAGATTGTGTTTTGTTTATGGACATGTTGAACTGTTGAATTATTACCTTCTCTTGAACTGTTAGCTATGCTTCTGCTCTTGTGTTTCTTCCATTTTGGTTCGTAAAAGAATCTGGATTGAATGAGAATGATCAGTAGAACTTGAAATTCTTTTGCTATGCTTTTGCAAAGTACCACACTTAATCAGTTATTGCAGGGACTTATGTAGTTGTGTTATGCTTCTGCTATGCTTCTGCTCTTGTAATTGTTAGCTATGCTTCAACTGGGAAATGAATTTGTGCAATATTATGTACCTTTATGGGTTGCAAGTACAATGAGACTGTCAGCTTTAACCACTTACAATACTATACTATTAGACATTAGTAACATATTTATTAATTGGAATGAAGCCAAAAGTAAAATCTTGAGGTACTGTAATTTATAGTCATTTATTTGCTATTTTTGTTCTTTTAAATGCTATTGTATTATGTAACATCCATTATCCATATACAATTATACACACTCCTTAATAATACGTACAATCCGATCCGAAAATCCGATCACCAAACCGATCCGAAATTTAAAAATCCGATCCAATCCAATATAATTCGGATCGGATTCGGATTGCAATTTTTGGAATCCGAAATCCGAAATTTCAATCCGAAATATGCTATGCTAAATCCGATCCGATCCATGCACAGCCCTAACCGTAATACTAAAAAATTTCCTTTATTAGTGCTCGACGCTGCTAACATCGTAATGCGATCATTAGTAACGAAATTGTGATTTAGTTGAAATCACGGTACCGATGGGTATTATGCTTGCTCATTTTTCTAACCTTGATTTCTCTCCCACAAACTAAAAGGATAAATTTCCGGCAACCGCTTTCGACTGCCCAACAGTTGATGTTAGAAATTACCTGATACATGCATTAGTCGGAAATGCTGGCACCATAATAACCCAGATAGCACCATGATGATTTATGACACATGTTCCCTTTATCCAACTCATTCAACAATCCTTTAGTTATATATCACCCTAATTAGTTGAACAGGAAGCAGAAAGTATGCTGGCGTAAAAAAAGAAAACCAACATCCACGTTACAATGAGTATTATCCTTGCAACATCAATTTCTGAACTGCAGCATCTAAACCAAAGACAGTCAAACTCAATAGCGTTAATTAACCACATACTTCAGAAATTGGAGGGTGAAGGGAACTTCTGTTTCTTCAAGCCCGACACTAAGCTTTTGAAAAATCCTACTGGCTAAGAGAATCCAATGAGACCACAAGAAACATCGATCAAACAAAGAAAAAACAGTCAAGTCATCAAATGTCTCATCTCAAGTCTCTTCCAACTTTTCATTTACCTGGGGGAAATGTGAAATGAAGAGAGCAGAGCACCCAAACAGAAACACGGGTTTCCATGGAAATAGCGTTCGAGGTTAATAGATGATAGACCATAGTTGTTAGTCAAAAGCTGTAATAAGATCATATTTGCAATCCACCAAATTAAAACAAGAGATAACATTCGGAGATGGCAAGCCATCACCATTAAAAACTAAGATCTGTATTTCATATTGTACAGCTTACAAGCCAACTAAGTTCACATAATTACACCTGACAAGTAAAAATGATTTTTCATCACATCTAGCCCACCGCAGAAAAAGAGAAGCTATTTTAGTGCCACAACTACTAGTCTTCAAAAAACTTAAGGCACCATAAACTTGCATGCAAATCTATCAAAAACTAGAAAGTTAAAGGGCTTGGGGGAGGGGGGAGGGGGACAATCCACCTTCAAGCCTTCAAAAGAAGTGTGTGTTAACAACATTATTCAGATGTTGGCTAAGAGATCCTGCTAGGCACACTACCTGAAACAGTTAACTGGGCAGATGGCATGTAAACTCGAGATACATGCCAGCTATAACCAAAACAAGTCAAATATAATTCGTTGAAGATTAATTCTAGCCAGAGCACCACAGAAATCTAGGAAGCCAAAAAGCTCAAAATCTATAAGATAACTTGAAATAGATACCAGATTAGTTCTAGGCAGCAAGCACTAGATCTCTAGGGAGCAAAAAACAGATGCCTAAGTGAATTACCAAGCCAAGTTAGCTGTAAGTGGTCGAAGGAAGAACAGTTCTAGGCTACAGCAACATATAGATCTATAGGAAGTCAAAAAGCTCAGAGTCTACCTTGTCAAGACCAGAAAGATGAACTCACTAAATAAAAATACGAGCCTGAGTAACAAACATCTAAAGAAACCAAACTTACAAAAGATACATAAAAGAACTCCAAAAGAGAAGGTTCTAGCTAATTCATAGTTCATAAAGAAGAAAATCTCTAAACTAAGACAAATCATGAGATTTAACTATGGGTCTCAGGTCCCACAATAGTAAGTAGGAACAAACTAGGGTTCTGCCAATCTTCTAGATGTTGTCTGCTTGCTAGCGATCCCATATCTACTCAACTCTGAGCCAAAGATCATTACCAAGAGCCTGAATGCAACTCCTAGGAAATGCTTAAGATAATCTACCTGGCATAGGGATGGTAACGGCCGCTGCCACTATAGCCTGCCCTACTTCCGTATAAACCTCCTGGTCCACCATAACCAGCGCCAGGGCCAGAATCATAACCAGCACCCGAGCCAGCCCCACCATAACCCCCATAACTAGCTCCACGGCCATATGCCATTAGTCCACTGCCACCATATCCACCAGCACCTCCACCAAACCCACCAGCATAAGAGCCATAGCGACTAGAATAGCCGAGTGAGGGATCTCCACGGTAACCACCAAATTCACCACCGCCAAAGTCTCCATATCTACCACCATATTCACCACCACCATATCCATAGTCACCAAACCTACCACCCATACCTCCAGAAGACCTATAAGAAGCAGGGCCAAAACCGCCACTGCCAAAACTGCTGTATGAATTGCCAAAGCCTCCGTAACTATCACTGTATCCACGTCCCCTAGACTCACTACCATAGCCATGACCAGATGATGCTGGGTTTGAGGGTTTCTTAGGTTCTGCCTTCTTGATCTCAACCTACAATAAAGAAGCAAGTTAACCTAGAAAATCACCTATGCAGTAGCCTGACACAGCTAAGCCCTGAAATATACACACTAAATGAATCCTACAAACTTTAAACTACCACACATGAGAGACATGGTGTGAAAATCTGAAGAAATAATACTGAAATGTGCAGCATAAAACCAAAGAGAAATCTTGGCCATTCACTATTTGAAAGATAGTTACATCCCAGTACATCTGACATCTTGGACAACCATTGGACAAAACTAACCTGGGTACCCAACATATCAATCATATTTCCCTCGGACAGCACATTATCAACTACTTGCTCATTGTCGAACACGATAAATCCAAACCCTCGAGACCGCTTAGACACATGGTCCCTTATGATCTCGCAATCAACCACCTTCCCATACTTGGAGAAGAAGCCCTTGAATTCGTCTAACCACGAAGAGAAAAAGGAACAATTAAATACTTGAGAAACTGAAAAATTCAGCACAACTGTATGATAAACATTGAGTTTAAAACAGTTGATAAAAAGAAAGCTACGTCATTTGTCACCTTCATTCATAGAAGTAGGAATGCCACCAACAAAAATCTTCTTAGTCTTGAAGTCCTTCGATTCAGCAGATCCTTTCGGAATGGTTCTTTTAATCTCAACCTTACCAAGAGTAATCTCATAAGTCTCAAAGCCAAAATGCTTGCCACCATTCATCACGTTTATACTAAAAAACAATGCTTTGAGAATATGGTTTCTACTAGAAATTCTTACAATACCATGAATACTATAACTTTAGTTACAAATATACGACCAAGCAAAAAACTATATGTGGAGAATATGGTTTCTACTAGAAATCACACAACATCGGGAATACTATGAACTTTGGTTACAAATTTACAATACCAACCAAGCTCATAATCTCAAAAAGAATTCATGACTTGCTATTATGCTATAAACAGATGGTTTGTTAGGAACGAACACAAAAAGGAGAACTTCTCATGGCATTCATAAATAAAAATTGTAGTTGTCCTTTCTCTCCAATCCTATTTGATTGTATAACGACTATGCTTAGTCCCAACAAGCTTGGGTCGGTTATATGAATCCTTATTGCCCATGTTTATCCATTTAAGGTTAAAGTCATGTCATCATCACACCAAATAAAAATAAAAGTGAAGAATAAGGCATATTAAAAGTTATATATAAATCATTGATAACGTAAAAATACTCCTAGAAAAGCAACAGGGAAGGATTATACATAAACATGCCACTTATTGAGAAGGATTTATAGATGAAATCGAAAAAGGGAAGCTAAAGAACTCACTTGTTTGTCATTGATAATATGGGTTTCAGCAATAACATTGTCAACGACAGTGGGATCAGAGTAAGTTATGAACCCAAAACCTCTAGGTCTACCAGTATGCCTGTCCTTCATAATCACCGAGTCTATTATTTCCCCATACTTCTCAAAGTACTTCACAAATTGTTCTACAAAACCCCAAACAAAATCATCCCAAAATTAGAGATGAACAGTTAGAAACTTAGAATTACCCTACCAGCAAGAAACAATAAATAAGAGTTTAGGTTATACTTTTTTTTATAAGGTAACAGTTTAAGAGTTTAGGTTATATACACCGTCACTGTAAGCATATTTAGTGTAAGCAATTTTTACATCATCAGGTAACCTTTACATGTTGTAAAGGTAACATGTCTTATTTTCAAATTACAAATCCCAGGAGACTCACTTGTAATATTCTTTTCCAGTAATGGTGTATATAAATTATACTTTCAATTTATGTGAATCTATTTTCTTGTTTGTCCGTGCCAAACAGAATGACTACTTTCTATATTTGGAAACAATTTACCTTTATAATGATTTATAGCCACACAAAATATATGTGTTTCATTTTACACCACAAGTTAAAAGGTCTTAGCATCTTTTTTTCTTAAACTTCATGTCCAATCAAATAGATTCACATAAATTGAAATGGAGGGAGTAATACACAAATTTCAGCTCATCGCCAACAATGAACTAAATTAAATACATAAATAAGTAGCAGATGAAAAACTAACCTAAAGTAGTCTCTTTCGCTAGACCTCCAATGAAGATTTTTCTGTTTACATACAGACAGTAGAACAACAACAACAAAAACTAATTAATACCCATAAGAATTCATATGGACAATTAACTTTTTAAAGAGCAGCAAAACCCTAAAATAGATATGGAGACAATACCCGGGGCTAGCTCCATCGCCGAAGTCGCTCTTTCGTGAACCCATTGTTAAAAGATTTTGGATTTGTTAAGCAATTAGATCTCAGAGAAAGTTGGAAAGAGAGCTAGGGTTTGCGAATGAGTTGGTCGAAACACAAACCACAAAAAGGAGAGAGAGAATAGATTTTGTGGTGGTTTTATATATAGACAGAAGTGCGGATAGTCTACGCTTTCCTCTTTAGTTTTGGAGCAAAGTACACAAGGTTTTCAAGTCGGTTTTGAAAATGTATGGGCCTGATTGCTTGGTCCTAATGTTTTATTTGGGCTTTAGATTAAAAGTCGGTGTAAAAATTTGGGCAAAGATCACTTTTATCCCGCGGCCGAAATTATTTACATCTCATGATCAATAAAATATATAAAATTTATATATTTTTTGGATATAACATACAGGAAAAAAACAAATTTCACTGAGATGTAAATCCATTTTCACCTTTGCATATATGGTCAGACCTCTCTATAACAGCCTTGTTTGTTCCGAATATTTTTGGATGTTATAGCGAAGTGTTGTTATATAGAAGATATATTACAATGTAACATGAAAATTGGTTCAGTAAAAGCTTGGCTTTTATAGTGAAGCATTGTTATATAGGGATATTGTTATAGAGAGGTTTGACTGTAATATATATACTTTTTCGACTATTATTTTGAGAGTCGCTATGCAATATTATTTTTCCTAAAAATTTTACGGGATGACCTATTTGGTTGCTCCATTTAAGCTGTATCCACTTCTAATAAAAAGTTAAACTAGTACCTATTTGTATCCACTTTCACGGGGCGCCCTATTTGTAAGCAAGTTTTAAGGTGATTTATGGATTTATAGTAGTGAGCTGTTGTGACACTCATCTCTTTGCTACTGCTTAGGGTTTCTTCTTCTTTCTCTTAGTTGCAAAATGAGTTTGTTAGATTTGTTGTTGTTTTGATAAATTGATTGGAATTTGTTCTTTATGATATTTAATAGTTATCTTTCAAATTTGAGCTCATTTGCACAATTTATACATCAGACTGAAAAGTTTTAAGTGCATAAAAAAATTAGTTGTACTCAAATCAATTAAGTCTTAAGTGCATCTTAAGTGCAAATTTGCATTAGACTAAAAAAAATTAAGTGCATGCAAAAGTTAGTCCCACTTCAGACTAAAACAGTCTTACGTGGATTTTAAGTTTGCAGTTACAGATACAAATTTTTTAACTTCAAACCCGCTAAATCTGAGCTACTCATGATTTGGTATGTGAACACTGTAAGGAACAAGCTTTTAAAGTAATATGCAGGTTAAGGTTTGCAAGTTCACGTCAGAAGTTAGGGTTAACCCATTTTCAACTTTAGGACTTTTAAGCGGAAGTTTCAACCTTCAGCCCGATGTCTGAAACTGCCATTCAAAGTTCAAAATTCAGACTCAACGCCTAAAATTTGAAACTTCAGGACCCAATTAACAATTCAATCCCTAGGTTTAAAGTAGCTGAACTTTAAATATTTTATAATATTCTAAGTATTTTTTGAATCGTGGTCCTAAAAACGGCCATTTGTGCACATCCCCCATTTTTTTAGGAAACTGAAAGTGTTGATTTTTTAAAAAAAAAAATAAGAAAACTACCGGTTATATCCATTTATAAATAGTTTATTATAAAAATTGATCAATTCATTAAATATTACTAATATTAACCAAATGTTACCAATTAGCTATTTGTAGCTAAGACAAGGTTAAATTTTTGCTTTGATGTTATTAGAATAAATTGAGTACATCTTAAGGAGTTTGAATCTCAGTTTTGGGATGATTTGTCAAAGTTTTGATGCGGTTTGAATTGAAAATCCGAAGTAGGAAAAAATATGAAAAAATAATCGGTGTATCACATATGTATCATATTTGTCTCAAACTTGTATCACATGTATCTGCATGTATACTGTCATGGGCGGCTTTCCAGTCGTGCCCCATGACCCCTTGGGCGCGCCCCGTGGCGTCCTAGCAATCCTTCCAACGCCTAGCGCCACGGACGGCCCCGTGGTCTTGGCCGCGCCAAGTGACAAGCGCGCATGTGCCTCTGTCGCCTCACCGATATCCCTCGCCAGCGCCCAACCGCAGGCAGATGCCAACAGCGACGCGCGCGCAGACCCTGATGCCAAAGACAATGCTGCTGACAACGGACCTGTTTTCTGCCTTATAGCAAACTAAGTCTTTTTCATTGTACATATAGAGTAGTTTTATTCCATGTACTTCCATTATGTTTCTCTAGCTTAATCAAGTCTAGTCTTGTAGCTTTGGATTATTTTATTTAAGCATTATTA